TCCTTGAAGTTGAAGATGGAGGGTTACCGAGACCTTAAGATGGCTATTGGGTTATTGGGTGCCACACTTCTGTGACTGCCTTCAGGTAGCACTGGAAACTGGTGGGAGAAGGATGTGGTGGTGGTGTCCCTAAAGACCCATTTCTGACGGCCACTTTCCAAGCAGCTAGCTAAGCACAGGAGTGGCAATCACAAGTCTCATGTGATAGGGTGTTCATTCTATCCAGAGTCACTTTGGCCACTAGTAATTGTCACTTCTGGATCATTCTGCACCAAGGGACACCATTAAACTACTCCAATCCAGTAGTTCAGAAGAGGAAAAGACTCCCGGGACTTGGATCCAGACTCTCCGAACTTATTCCGTTATCACACCTAAGCCTCAGAGCTATGACTCTCAGTGGTACTGATGCTTATTGATGTCCCAGACCCCTGAAGCTTGCACCTCTGAGCTCCACTGTGCAGTCATAAAAGGACTTGGTCTAAGTGAGCCCCATGGGGTGCAATGGGACTTAACTTTGAACTTGACCCTCAGCCAGAACTTCCTTCTGGATCTGGAGGTCAAGAGGTTCTCAGAACCCACTCTTCCACTGTTTACTGTCTAGATGAGCCCTGGAGGACTTGAATATGTGTGACCAAAGTCCCTAGCTACAAGCTGGAAAGGATGAAAGGTGGGGATTTAGCAACCACTCCAGACAGTAGCAATCAAATCGGCCCCAAGCACACAGTACAGGAAGAGACAGGAAGATTAAATGTTAAACCACACACAAATGCATTCAGCCAACAAAATGAGAATGAGTGAGAGTGAAGAAGGGCTTGGGGACCAGGATCAGGAGGTGGAGAGGAAGAAGCAGAGGCAGGGCAGATGGGAAGGAGAGGAAGATGAGCCTGCAGAGTCACCAGGGGTTAGGGAGGGAGAGTGATGGAAGCCAAACCATAGACCAGGGGACAGCCAGGTGGTGGCTCATTGGGAGAAAGTGCAAATGAAAGATTAGTTAAAGAAAGAGAGGAAAGAGAAAATTAAAAAACAAAATCAACCCAGAGCAAAGTTGGGAAAGAGAGAGAGAGATTGATTTAAACTAAGCAGAACGGCCGGGCTTTTCTGAGATGAGAGCAGTACACAGGCTGAGCTGGGATACCTACCTTCTCAGTGGTCAGGGACAAGGATGCAACAATAAAGAAAAGAAGAAATCTCTGCATATGGAATGCAGGGCAATGGTGATTCCAAATGGAACCCTGCTCTGAGCCAGCAGAGGGGGAAACAGCCTGCCATGTGGCTTCTGGGTGTCACCTCTGGGATGGAAGGGGCCACTTGTCAGCTATCTCTGTTAGATTCATTATTTATTTATTTTAGAATCTTTAACTACGGGCTCCAGTAGCCAAGCTTTCCTTAATTCTCGACATAACAAACTCCCCAGAGGGCATGCATGTAGCAGCTAATGAAAGCAGAAACCACAGGGTGGATAGAGAAGGGACAGGTTGCTTGGGAGAGAGACCCAAATCAGGAGGAGAGAGATGGAAAGAGAAATTACACAGGCACAGAAAGATGGAGTGGGGGATAGACAAGCCAGACAAAAAGAAGAGAGAAAGGCTGGTTAAATGAGGCCAGTGAGAGAGGATGAAGAGGGCGGGAGGGGTTGCATATTTAAAAGGAAAAACAACCATAAGTTTAATTTGGATCTTGCCTCTCAGATGAGCCCTATGGCTTCCCTATAATTTTATTTGTTTAGGTTTTTCGAGACAGGGTTTCTCTGTATTGCTTTGGAGGCTGTCCTAGAACTCTCTCTGTAGATCAGGCTGGACTCGAACTCACAGAGATCCGCCTGCCTCTGCCTCCCGAGTGCTGGGGAGGCCGTGTGCCACCCAGCTCCCTATAACCTTATTAAATGCTTTCTGAGACAGACAGTCATGTAGCATAGGATAGCCTTGAACTCACTATGTAATTGAGGTTGGCTTTGAATACCAGATTCCCCTGCATCTACCTTTCAAGTGCAGGGATTACAACTGTGCACTACTATCCCCAGATTTCATGTGATGCTAGGGACAGGGATCCAATCCAAGGCAAACACTACCAGCTAAGTCCCATCCATCACTCTCATCCTTTTTTTCCCTATGGTGAATGAACTACATGGATAGGGTAGCACTCAGTTACTGGGCTACATCCCAAATGCTCTCTCTTTCTCTCTCTCTCTCTCTGTCCTTTTGATTTTCTAAGTTACCAAGCACGACCTTGGCTGGCTTTGACCTTGTTATCCTCCTTCATCAGCCTTCCAAGTGCTAGGATTCAATGTGAACATCACCAGGCATGGTTCTGTTTCTCATATTGAGAATTGTCTGGAGCAACGATACCAATGGCTTGTCCCCAAATGAGAACCATTCTTCTCTCTAGCCTAGATTGACTAGCTTGGACAGCTTTATCTGAGTTAAATCTGCAGCTGCCTTCAGACCCTCTCCTCCAGTCTTTCTAAGGAACTGGGGCCTGATGCTGGCTTCCCCTGTCTGTCCACAACACAAGTCTCTTCTCTCTATGTTGTTAATTTAAAACCTGAGCTAATTCCAGTATGTTCCCTGGGGTTAACAAGAGGGCTAGTTGTCCTTTCTTATTTAGCAGGTGTTGTTGGATTGGCTGCCATTTGTATTTGGAGTTGTGTTCCCTTTTAAATTCTGATCACAAGAGAAGAAAGTATATAAAGATATGGGCATGATTAATGTAGACTTGAAATTCAAACATCATCTCTGCATTAGAAGAAAGACTTCCACAGTAACACACAAAAAAGCAAAGTTCTAGAACACAGAAGAGAGAGAAGAGGGGGAAAAAAACCAAAACAAAACCCAAAACAAACCCAGAAAGATAGTTTGCATTTTGGTATATTACAAAATTATTATTTTTTAAATAAAGAAAAAGGAAATACAAACAAAAAAAAACCAAAATAACAGGAAAAAATGACATAAACTCCCCCACCCACAGCTAAACAAGGTATGGAATTATAGTATTACCACATTTCAAATGGGAGGCTAAAAACAAACAAAGACATAGGCGGGGTTAAAACAGTGTTGAGCTTCTCTCTTTTTTCCTGTATCTTTCTCTCTCATTTTCTTAGAGATAAGGTCTTAAACTCCTACCCCCAGTACTTATGCTGAAATACCTTCCCCCCCCCAAATGGCAAAGGCTATTGACACCCAGCCCTCCCTCCATCTCACCTTTCTGGGTACAGGAGAACCAATTTGCTCAACAACCCCTCTACCGAAAAGAGGATCAGAGTGTAGGATACAGACCTGAGATGCTCAAAGTCTCAGACTGTGCAGGACGCAAGGGATAAGATTCTGAGCTATTCTTTGTGATAAGAGTAAACAAAGCACTTGGAAAACTCCTAAGGCCATGTGAAAATGGAGTCCCATTTTGGGCAGGAGATATAAAATGCTGCTTAAAGCAACTGCTGACTCCTGCACAGCCATCTAGTTACTGTTGCCATTTTGTCTGCACCTGGACAGGTTTAGTTACTGTATCCATTTTGTTTACACATGTACAGGACACTTGCAAGGGGCAGTGGTCGAGGAAATTGTTCAGATTTCCAAGACCCCACAGAAGGGATCAGAAATAGGGTGGGACCTACTTTCAGCCCTGTGTTCTGGGGTCTTAAAGGAGGCCACAGATGAGAGACTGTGTCCCTTGGTCTTTGTGCTCAGGAAGTTTTGGGATCACCATATCTCTTTTTAGGTTAGCTTATCAGTTCCAGCCCCTGCTGGTTGCTTTAAGATACCCCATTGTGCTCTCTCACACTCTGAAGACTTATCCGAGGGACATCAGTGCCCTTCTCAACTGGCAGCCTAACAGAAGTCCCAGGAGCTAGGCCAAGGACCAGGCAATCTTTCCAGAACAGTTTAGAGGCAGGCTCTCCCACAGAAATTCTGAGAACAAAAGCTTTGTGCCCTACCTCCCTTCACCTTCCTCTCTGACATCACAGGAGGAAGAGTATTTCAGAAAAGGAAGGGAGTGAAAGAAAGTAAACAAACAAAAAAAATCAAAATGAAACTGACAAGTACAGGTTTGTGTTGGCTGCTGAGACCCGTGGTCTGGGGAGGGTCAGCTTGCCACTTGGATGAGGCATCTTGGGTCATGCATTGTGAGTGTGGAAAGGGACCTGCTATTCTACCCGAGTTCCTGAGCACACCCAGTGGTCCTGTCAACACTGCAGCGACCCCTCCTTGAGAGGCCTCAGCCTCATACGCTGACACACAGATGGGGCCTATAGACCTTTGCGTGGCCCATGAGGGGAATAAAAAGTCAGTGTTTTGTTCGGGGTCCTAAGATCACCTCACCTGCCTGAAAGCTAGAGGTGATTGTGTTCCCTCGCTAGGACTGGTGGGGACAGTTTGTGGTGGGGACCATAATGGTAGGAGTGTTTTGGGTGTCTTGGGAAAGGTCGGCAGATTTGAGACACTGGTCCAAATTGGGGCCAAGTACAAAAGAAGCTCATTGCAGACCCCAAGAGAAGTGGGAAGGGCTAATGGGAGGGGTTAGGGAGGGAAGGACTCAAAGAAGGGGCTTAGATGTCACGTGACACCCACTGACTTTTGAGTCCTTTCTCTCCAGGTCCTGACTGATGTGTTTACTGTCCACGCCTGTTCCGGGAAGGCAAGAAACCTCGGTTCATCACCAGCAGCTTATCCCAAATATCCCTATAGTCAGGCCTTCTCTGACCTTCACTTTGCCAAGCACGAAAGTAGCCCAGGCCTGCAGGTCCCCACCCCTAATCCCTCACCAGACCACCAGGCCCAGGTGGGAACAACATCCAACCGACATCCAAATAAGCAGTCCAGGGGACTCCCGGCACCCGATGCCCTTGCGGAGCACAGGTCGGAGGGCTGGGAAGGGAGAGAGTGTCGGTCTGGTTACCGGTGGCCCATCATCGGCCCCGCCCCTCCAGCTATCCGGCCCCACCCAGCACGGCGCAGCCCGCCAAAGCGGTGTGGCGAACCCTCCGCAAAACCAAGTGTACGTACATCGGGCGGGCTGTGCGCCGAGCCGGGGCGGCCCCCGTGCGCTCCGCTCCGTTGCCTGCTGCCTCCGTTCTGCTGGGGCGACCCCCATCCGCTGCCGCCCGACGGGGAGGGCGACCGGCTCCCGCTGGATCGCTGGCTGCCTGTCTTCCGCCCGTCATCTCGATGCTTGGGGCTCAGCCTGGGGAAGCGGAGGGATGGGGGGAGCCGGCGTGGGACGCCCCCTCTGCAGGCGGCCTGGTTCTCAGCTCGCGCTTTCACAGAGAGAGCAACCCGAGCGAGCCAGCCTTGCACTGCCTTGACTTCCCAGCTTGCTTCTGGCTGATAAACTTTGGTTCTAGGCATTGGCCCGGCCCTTTAGGGACACAACACTCCCCTCCATCCCCGATTTGAGCTAAATAAATTTTGTTTTCTTCGAGACAGGGTCTCATATAGCCCAGGCTGGCCTTCAACTCTACATTTAGTCTAGAATGACCTGGAACTTCTGATACTTCTACCTCCGTCTCTAATGCGGGATTGCAGGCCTGCACCACTACAATTGGATTATGCAGTCCTGGGGGGCGAGAGTCAAACCCAGAACTTCGCGAACCCAGGCAACCAAGCACTCTACTAGCCAGGCTAATTTCTGGCCCCCACCCTCCAAGCATCATCTCTTGAGCCTACCCCAGGGTTCAGCCTACCTGCTGGGTGATCCGGAATCGCTGTAGTGTGAGGTCATCGAGGGGCTGTGTGAACTGACACTGCTGTGGTGGTGAGACCTTCTGCCTGGGGATTCATTGTGAGGCCTGGTGTGGGCAAGGGGAGTCAGCGGAACTGAAGTGTTATCTCTTTTGACCATGGTGTTGCCTGGCCTGACCTCGGGGACTTGGGGTAAGTAACTGAGGAAGGTCACTGTGGGATCCGCCCCACACCCAGCACAATCTCCTACAAAAAAAATTACCCGGATGGGATTGGGGCTGGGTGTAGGGTCCCCCAAAAGTTATCGCTGAGAGTTAGGGAAAAGTGCCTTTTCCTGGAGACAGCCCCAACTTCCAAATCTCATCTCTCACCTGATCTTCTTAGAATGGAGGGGTGTGGGTGAAAGGTCAAAGGGCAGAAAGGATGGATGGAGGGGGCAAGGGGCCTAGGACCCACCACTCTTCAGGGGCCACTGGCTCACAGGGTTTCCTCAGCACATTTTTTATTTGTCTGTCTGGCACGATTAGGGGCTATCCAAGTTCAAGAGATTGTTTTGGGGGTGCTAAAAGGCCAGGTTTTCTGGGGTGGAGGGAGGACAGCTGAGTGCTCTTACCTCTTACGCTCTTTGTTTTTTTCTTTTCTTTTGCTCTTGAGGCTTCGAGATCTGTAGGAAGCAGAGACCAGGTCTGAGCACAGTGGCAGGAGAGAGTGACACCGGAGTTACTGTAGCGCTCTGGAGCCCAGCTGAGCTCAGACATGGAACTTCAAATTGCTCTCTTAGGCCTAAACCTCCCCCTGGCTGCCCATCTTACCCCATAGGATAGCCAGGCTTTGTGAAAGGGGGTGTGTATGTATGTAGTGTTGGGGTAGAATCCAAAGAATTCTAGGTAGCAACCTCTCTGATGATATGAAATCCTTTAAAATCCCAAACAAATACAACAAATACCAATGTTTAGGAAAGGGCGGGGATGGAAGGGTTCAGCTTGCTTTGGGCCTCAGTTTCACAGGGAAACGGCTTAGGCAGTACTAGCTCACTGATATGCCCTGTCCTGGTCCTGGTCGTAGGGGCTGTACATAGGATAGTGGACACTAGGGGGCAGCAGAGGCCCACACTCTGCTTCCATCCTGGGAGAGAGGAGGGCAGAAATGGGGAAAATAGGAAGAGTAGGCTGAAAAATTTTCAGGCTTCCATACTACCAGGTACAAATGGCCTTTGCTAATCTCCGCCAAGGGAAGGACGTGGAGACTTTAGTCAGGGCTGCATGGAGGGAGTTTGGCTCCCATGGTAAGGGTGTAACTGGCCACACATTTCGATCCCTGATACCGAGTTGACTAACTTCTGCCTGGGCCCCTCTTTTCCCCCAGTCAGACCTGTAGAGGGCTAACAGTCTATGTGCCAGAAACTTCATCTCTAGCCCCAGCCTGGCCATCCCCATCTTCTACCCACTGAGCTACTCCAGTTCACAGAAACACTCTGTCCTGGCCTGCCCTTTCCCTGAATTCGGGGTCCTGATGCTTTCACCTTGGAAGAGGGTTCATCATGGCTTGCAGTTCTTTCTGGGAGTTCTTGGGGCTTTTACATGGAGGCTGAACTGAGGCAGGCAAAGGCTGACCTGTCCTCCAGCTCTGTTCGCATCAGTGAAGAAACCTCTGGAGTGGAAGATGGAGCCAGACTGGACTCTGGTACCCCCCCCCCCACACACACACACTCTCTTGTGGCTTTGGTCCCTAGAAAAGTCTGGTCCCTAGAAACCTCTGTGTGCCTGTCCAGGAATGCACAGCTCACCTGTACCGTCTCTTCCTCCGGGACCCAGAATCAGACCTGTGGAGTGACAGACAAAATCTTCTGAGTCTCCTTGGGAATGGCCACCGTGGGGCACAGTCCAGGTCCTGAGCCCAGGGAGTGAGACAGGCTGCAGGGGGCAGGGGTGTGTGGAGAGGAGAGGTCAAATTACCTATCTCTGTGGTGCTTCTTCAGACCCTTCTTCTTCTTGCGCAGGGGGGATGCACTCTCACAGCTGTGGACACAGGGGTGGGCCACTAGTGAGCTGGGGGTGGAGGGGGAGAGGATGGGTATGGCGGAAGGGACTTGGGGTGTAGACACTGGGAAGAGGTCGTAGGCTATGAAGCCCAAAGCCCCTTGTATAGAAAGACCTTGTACAGAAACCTTACGGACCAGATTGGCTAAGCCTCTTATAATTGATACTACTGCCTGTCCCTTAGTGTCCCTTTTCTTGTGTGTGTGTGTGTGTGTGTGTGTGTGTGTGTGTGTGTGTGCACAGAGCCTAGAGGTCACCCTTGGACATCATTTACAAGGTACTAACTATATATATTTATTTATTGTGTGTGTGCACCTGACATGGTGAATACATAGAGCTCAGAGGACAACCTCTGAAAAAGTCCTGGGGACTCTTCACAGGTCGCCACCCCTGTGTTTTCTGAGTCGGGATCTTTCTCTGACTTCTGGAACATGCACCTTAGCTAGGCTGGCTAGTGGGCCCACTCCTCAGTTCCTTTGTGGTGGTGTTCGCTTGGTTATTTTTGGTTTGTTTTGGAGGCAGGCCTTGCAGTGTAGCCCAGGCTAGCCTTGCACTCATGGTCCTTCTACCTGGGCCTCCCCAGTGGTGGGATCACGAGAGTGCGCCCCCTATCTTGTATAGGGCAAGGGAGGTTCCCACCACTCCCTGAGACAGGGTTTCTCTGTGCATCTTTGGCTGTCCTGGAACTCACTCTGTAGACTAGGCTGTCCTCAAACCCACAGAGATCTGTCTGCCTCTGCATGTACCATCATGCCTGGCTTGGGAAGAAATGTTTTTCCCGCCTGGTTTTCTTACAGTGCTGGAGACAGAACCCAGGGCCCTGCTCTAGGCAAACTCACCAGCTTTGAGATGTCTCCAGCCCTTGAGATTTCTGGGCTGCACATGCAAACACTGGTACCAGAAAGTCCTGTGGCCAACCCCTAGGTGCCAGGCCTCTTCTGTTTGGAAGATGGCCTTGCATTCTTTCCCACCCACAGGTGCTCCCCCCCTAGGTCCCAGCCCTCCCCTCCTCCCGCTCTTGCCCCTACATCACTGACCTGCATTCTGACTCTAGTCTCCTCTTTTTGCTGAAGGTCAATGTCAGAGAGAAAGGACAGACAGATGGACCGGGTTAGCTAGTGGCCCCAGCTTGTACCTCAGGACAGAGGAGGGGGAGGACATAGAAACGGGGGAGTTGTAGTTGAGGGCCAATAATGACCTCTTTCCCAGGAACACCCACACTTGGAATGGGGTTTACTTGAACCCTGGGAGGACAATAATACCCAGTGGGGGTGGGACATAGAGCGGGGCGGGGCTTATCGAATGGGCGGGACCGAGACGTGGAGGGGTTAGGCTGCAGGCTAGGGATTCAAGGGTTGAGGCTGGTTTAAGTTCATGGATCCTAAGTGTGGCATCTCTGTCCCATGTAACCCCAAGGCCCTTCCCCGATTCTCCCTAGGACCATGCGCCTTCTCACCGGCTCCTCCGATGACTGCCTTTCTTTTTCTTCTTCTTCTTGGGAGGGGGCGATGCGGAGCTGCTGGACCAGTGCTTGGTCCTGGACGAGAAGGGGCGGCGGGGTGGTGAGGGATGCGGCCCGGTGTTGCCCTCCCCTCCGCCGTGGCGGCCGCTCACCTGTACCCCCGGTGCCCGCGGTAGCAGGCAACCGGGCAGTCGCAATCCACAGGACCATCGTCCTCATCGAAGGGTGGGTACTCCAGGCCCGGCTCCAAGCCGTCCATTCTCCGCGGGGTCTCTGCCACGCTAAGGAGAGACAATGACGCTGCCCACCCGCCTCTGAGAAATGGCCTTCCCGCTGCTGCAGCCTGGGCATGGCGTCTTGGCCTGGCCTTTGTCCTCTGTGTTATATGCGGCGGAGGAGAGGAGGCTGTGCTTGCAGACCAGAGGGGTCTGAAGAAGATTTGAGTAGCCCAGATTCTGAGGCAGTGGTTTGCAAAAGACAAAGGAACCCCAAGCCTGGTAGTGCAGGCTTGTTACATCAACTACTAGGGATGCTGAAGCAGAAGGATTTCAAGTTCAAGGCCTGTCTGATCAACCGAGCTGAGAATAAACAAACAAACAAGAAATAAATGGCTGGGGATGCAGCTTCGAGGGCCAGTAACAACTATAGCACTGACCAATAGGAGAGCCCTGGGTTCCATCCTCAATAACACGCGCGCGCGCGCACACACACACACACACACACACACACACACACACACATACACAAACCAACCAAACCAAAAAACTGGGAATGCAGTGTTGGTAGGGTGCTCGCCTAGTTTTCATAAAGCAATGCCACCTAAACTGGGTGTGGTAGGGCGCACCTGCAGTCCCAGTACTTTGGAGCTGGACACAGGGTGAGGATACACAGGACTTTCTAGGCCAGCTGGGTTACATGAGATCTCAACAACAAAACAATTAGATCTGTCCCATTCATTGAGCCCCTCCTTACCCCTCACCAAGTCTCCTCCCTGTAACTGTCAGCCCCGCGTCGCCACTGTCCTCCCTTCCTTTCCCTAGCTGGAGTCTTTACTCTTTCAAAGGGCCCCTCCCCCATGGCTGACATCTGCCTCTCCAGATCCCTGAGCGCCCCCCACCCCACCCCACCCCCGCACCTCCCTTCCCTCCTCTTTTCCTTCAGCCTTGGCCTCAGCCTCTGAAATATTCATAGCCTCTCTCCTCTCACCCTCCCTCCCCTCCACAGCCTCCAGAGGCCTCCTGCACTTCGAAGCTCCAGCTGCCGGCTGTCTTCATCAATCACAGCTGGCGCCCGGAGGGTGAGGGTGGGGCTTCAGCTCTCTGCACCTCCAAGCTCAGTATCCACGCCCCATCCGGCCCAGAATCTCAGAACTTCGCCCAGCAGGAGCCAGACATCTCCTGTCGCTGTTCCCAGCTCCTCAGACAGCGCCCCGCTCCCAGGCACCCTTTCAGGGTTAGGGCCCTTGTCATGAGGGCTCTAACCCTAAAACCACAGCTTGACCCGGGCAGGACCTGATTAGGCCCCTGACTGACTCTCCAACTTAAGAATTCCTTTTAAAAATAACTGGACTATGTTTTCCTTTCTTTTCTTTTTTGGAGTATTTTTCTTAAAAAAACATTATTTTTTTAACTTTTACTTACTCATGTGTGGGAGTGGGGCTCACATAAGCCACTGTGAATATGGTTAGAGCACAGCCTGTTATCACACTTCTCTACTCCTACTGTGTGCACTCTGGGGATCAAACTCAGATTGTTAGGTTTAGTGGCAAGCTCCTCGATAGCCCCAAGTTTCTTGATCTCTCTCTCTCTCTCTCCCTTATTCTTTTCAATTGAACAAGACTACAAATGACCTTCCACAGGTGGCCCCTCCCCCTCATCTCCACCTTCTTCACCTTCCCTGCTGGTGGAGATTGTTCCAGGCTTCAACAGAACACCCACACCCACGCACTCTCTCGAGGCCGCCCACACACAACCTTATCTACACAGGGAAGAGAATTCCCTGGCTTGGAGCAGAGGATTAAGGCAGACTCTTCCTCCGAAGCCCCAGACACACAGGCCTGGTCCATGACCCAGCCATTCCCTAGTAGTGATTACTTTGCAGGGGGCATCTGTTGGCTTCTACATCACAGCAGCCTGTTCCTGGAAGGGACTCAGAAATCTCACATAAAGGATGGAAGGGAGGGAGACTGTATATGGTGGCAGGGCTAAAGAAAGGCTTTACAGCAGGCATGGTGGTACATGCTTGTAATGCCAGCACTCAGGAAGAGGAGGCAGGAGGATCCGGAGTTTGAGGTCAGCTGGACTACATACAAGCTCAGGGTAAGCCTGAACCATTCTACAGAAACCCTGTCTCAATAGCTAACTGACTAAATAAACAAATAACTAAAGGCTGACAAAAATGCTTCAGTAGGTAAAAGCATGTGATTCCAAGCCTGAGGACCTGAGTTCGATCCCCAGTGCCCACATGATGGAGGGAGAGAACTGACCCCTGCAAATTGTCCTCTGACCTCCATACACGTGTGATATATACATTCTCTATGCCCTCCCCTTTCTCTTTCCCTTCATCGCTCTCAAAATAAATTTAAAAAGTAAGAAATAAAAGGACTGGGGCTTAGCAGATAGCTTACTGTACAACCATAGGACTGGAGTTACGATCCAACTTGGAAACACCAAGCTGTCCCTGACAGCCTTGGAGCCACCACAGATATTTGGGAAGTTTTTTGGGGGACAATAGACTAATGTGATCCTCCTGCCTCCACAGAACCAAGCATCCCTACATCCCTTAATTCAAACCTCTCTGCTCTTGCTCATCTTGAAGCTGGTGCTTCCTCCCATCTCCCTTTGTCTCCCTCCAATGACATGTCCAGCCCTATTGATTTCTAAGGTCCATCACTGCCCACACAGCTCCTCAGCCATACAAATGTAAAACAGTCTTTAGTGAAACTGCTAAAGGTAAGGGCATGGCGTTACAGTTAGCTTGTGGGTGAGCTGGGGGAGGAGGGAGCTTCAGCTGATACAGACTTGAACACGATGAAGGTTATTTACAAAATCAAGTTGCTCCCTTTGGACAATGCCTAATGCAGGACCTTTCTGGTCTTTGTAACTGCCCAGTTAGGTTGGCCACTGATGTCTTTCGTGCACCCCTTGCTCGTGAGCTAGCATGTGGGTGCTGGAGCTGAATCCTGGTTCTCTGCAAGAGTAACAAGTGCTCTGAGCTATCTATCCAGCCCCTCCACCTTAGTTTTTGGAGACGAGGTCTCTCGGGAACCTGAACCTCACCGGTAGAACTAACTAGCTAGCCAGCAAACCCCCATGTGTTTCCGCCTTTCTGGTGCTCATCTTGCAGGGGCATGCTGAGAATCCAAATGCAGTTCCTCACACATTTGCAGCAAGCATTTTACCCAGGGAGCCATCATCTCCCCAGCCCCCTTTTTTCATTACCTTTTAACTTTTATTTTTCGTGTTGCTGTGGCCTTGTGTGCTCTTAAATCCACGTTTGTCACCTAGTTGATGGTTCATTGTGTCTTTGGGATAGGGAGATGGGTATGGGAGGATGGGAGTGTCATCCCACCATAGAGGTGACCAACATAGGCATAGGCAGTTGGCTATGAAGTAAAAGGGTGTATTGAGTCAGAGGCAATGACACTCACCGGTGAGGCCAGCATTTGGGAGGTGGAGGCAGGAGGATCAGGAGTTGAAGGTCAGCAAGTTGGAGGCCAGTGTAGGCTACATGAAACCTATTTTCAAAGAAACTGAAAGCAGAGGGAGAAGTGGGGAGATGGCTCAGTTGGTAAAGGGTTTGCTGTGCAAGCATGAGAACCCAAGTTTGATCCCAGAACCCATGTAAAAGGCTGGGTGTAAGGATGTGCTAAAGTGAGCCCAGCTTTGAGGAGAGAGAGACAGGAGTACCTTTGGAATATGCTCGCCAGCCAATATAGCCTAATGGTGAGTTCCCAGCTAGTGAGAGATTCTGTCACAAAATATAAGGTAGATAGACATTGAGGAAGATACCAGTGCTTATCTGTGACCTCCACATATGTGCGCGCGCGCGCACACACACACACACACACACACACACACACACGTGCGCTAAATGTAATAAAAATTATCCCCCAAAGTCTCTTTCTGATTTAAAAAAAAAAAAAGTTGGCATGAAAAACAGCCAGTGAGAAGCAATCGTGTGTGTGTGTGTGTGTGTGTGTGTGTGTGGTGTGGTGTGGTGTGAGCATATGTGCTACTGTTGTGCCTGTAGAGATCAGAGGATGATATACTGGATTTTATTCTCTTTATCCGCTATGTTATTCCCAGGGATCAAACACAGGTTTGATGGCAAACACCTTTACCCACTAAGCCATCTCACTGGCCGGCATGCCAACACTGTTTACTTAACTATTTTTGTTTTCCATTAGCCAGGAGCATATTGGTCCAAGCAACAGAGGAGTGAGCCAAAATAGTGGTGGGATTCTGGGCAAAGCATCTTTCTTCTCTGCTCATACACTCAGTCACCAAGCCACCTGGCCTGACACGGGCCTTCAGTGGTAGTAAGAACAGGGAAGAATCAGGCCTGCATTCTTTCATCTCATGCCTTGAAGTGCAGGGCAAACATTGATCCCTATGTCTATTATGATAATTGCTAGTCCGGGTGCCAGACAGTATTGGGAGCACTTTACATGTATTTATCTCATTTAATCATTGAGTATTCAGAACAAGCCTTTGACATGGGAACCATCATTAAAATTCCTATCTCACAGATAAAATGATGAGGTACAGGGAGGTCACACTACGTCTAAAATTAGACGTGTTGAGAAAATGACTAGATTTTGTTCACACTGTGTTAGAAAGTAGCTTGTAAAGATTGCATCTGCAAGCCTGCTTTCTCAAACACTTTGCTATTATATAACTACGAATCTCTCTCTGTCTCTCTCTCTAACAGAGTATCTGGCTGGTGAGATGGCTCAGAAGGTAAAGGTACTTGCTACCAAGTCTGATGACCTGGGTTCAATCCCTGGTATCCACATGGAGAAAACAGAATTGACCCCTGCAAATTGTCCTCCATATGCATGCCATGGAACATGCACATTTACACACACATACACACACACACAGACAGAGAGAGAGGGAGAGAGACAGAGACAGAGAGAGAAAACAAACACACAAATCAAACTATGAATAAGTAAGCTATTGGAAGGTCATGAACTTTGGGAGGTGGGGCCAGTTGAAGGAAGTGGGAGAGTCTCTGATGGACTTACCTGTTCTTTTCCCTTCCTGCCTCTATGCTAGTTTCTGGCTGCAGTGATATAAGCCATCTATTCCTACATGCGTCCTCTGCCACACTGAATTAAACCTCCTTTACCATGAACAAAACAGCCCGAGTTGTCTGTGGCACATACTCTGACTACAGGTCTGGAAGTGTAACAAACATACTGTGCTCCTGACACCCAAGGGATCCACCTCCCAATGTTTCCAGGGAAATCTCTCCAAACAACATGTGAGTGTATTCTGCTTCCTATCAAAAGCTTTCTCCTGTCTTCTGTAGGGTCATTTCTAGACATGGTATATACTGATGGCAGTCTGGAGAGAAGATTATCACAAGAAACAATCACTCAAATAAGTCTGTTAACCCAAGGGTGAGGGGTGGTTGCTTTCTAGGGGTGATACCTCTCTGTCCTGAGCTCCTAGTGGCCCCCAAAGGTTCTCATAGTGGGGCCCCTTCATTCCAGGTGCACCTCCATTGTTTAATTTTGTAATTCAATTTATTTGTTTTATGTGTGAGTGTCTTGCTTGCCTGTCTATATGTGCACCACATGCATGCTGTAATTAAGCTCACAGAGGTCAGAAAAGGACATCAGATCTCCTGGAACTGGAGTTAGAGATGGCTGTGAACCACCATGTGGGTGCTAGGAATTGAACCTGGGTCCTCTGCAATAAGTGGTTCCAATCACTGAGCCAGCTCTCCAACCACCTACTCTTGTTATTTAACTGTAGGAGCTTCCAAATTTGGGGGCTAGGAGTATATTTGTGTTATAAAGAACTTACCTAACTTGCTCCTAAACAGTAGTCTATAAATCATGGAAGGTCAAGATTGGAGACCTAGGCATAAATTCAGGGACTGGGGGCTCTATGGATTCTGGCAGCTGGCAGTTGGCAGGCAGCATGGAGACAGCCAGGCAGAAGGGAACAAGTCAAAGATAATTGGACATATGGTATTGTTGGCAGTACATAGATGATGGCAGTGGCCACCTAGCCGTGATGTGTGTTTGCCTTGTGCTAGGTATTGATCCTAACACTTATATCCATTCATGTCTTTCTCATGCTGGGGATGGAAACAGCCTCCTTCATACTACACAAGGGTTTCAAAGTTGAGCCACACCCCCAGAGCCTTGTGTGTGGGGAGGGTATTCTAGGAAAGCACACTACAGCTGATTAATGCCCCAGCTCTTCCCTGAGGGATTCTAGGCAAGTGCTCTACCACTTGGCTAGCCTATGAGGTGGGCATCAGTACCTTCATTTTAAATATAAAGATATGAATAGCTAGAGAAGTCAGGGTCTGCCCAAGTCATGGTGCAGCTGGGATCCAGCAGCCAGGATGGTATCCTTGGACTTACAGATTTTGATGGATGTATGGAGTGTCTATCTCTCTCACCTATGCATCCAAGATGTGAACACTGGCTCAGATTCCAGGTTCATATGTGGCCAGACAGTGGCAAGCCTTTCTCCTTCAGCTGTGTGCTTCATGTCTAAGCACAGCAAGCTCAGTTTCAGCACCACGGACAGCTCATGTTCAAGCAACTCCCAGAAGTTGTCCTCTGACTTCCACAAGCACACCCTGGCATCTGGCATGCATGTACACTCACATACTCCTGTACATGCACACACATTTGTGTGAGCATGTGAGAACACACACACACACACTAAGTAAATAAATGTTAAAACAAAACCAAAATGTCCCTTCTCTAGCAACCATTAACTAACTGCTCATAGAGCCTTGGGAAGTGTTTTCCCTTTTGTTGTTGTTTTTTTCTAGACTGGGTTTCTCTGTGTAGCCCCAACTATCCTGGAACTCACTCTGTAGACCAGGCTAGCCTTTAACTCAGAGATCCACTTGCCTCTGCCCCCAAGTATCCCAGAATCTAGAATCAGAGTGTACAGAAGTTTGGGGACGCAGGAAGGTACCTGCTCCTGAACTAGTCCCACTGCTGAGAGAAAGAGCAGGAGCCTTTCCCACAGCCTCTTGCACAACCTCAGTGCTGGGAAGGGAAAGAACCATTAGCAAGGGGGTTGCCCTCTGAATGTATCCCATAGAATTTGCTGAGTACACTCTGGGGCATGGGGATGGACTACCTTTTGTCATCTCTCTAATTCAACCTGCACTATTTTCTACACATATTTTTTCCCTTCCCATGCCAGGGCTTGAATTTAGGGCCTCCAGCATGCTAGGCAAGTGCTCTAATGCTGAGCCATATCCCTACACTGGTAGGTTCAAGCCAAACATTCTACCACCAAGCAACTACAGCCCCTCACTGGGGGATTCTAGGCAAGTGCTCTACCACTGAGCCACAGCCCAGCCCCTCACTGGGGGATTCTAGGTAGGTGCTCCCCAGCTGAGCGCCTGCCCATTGGCATTTGGGTTTCTACAATCCAGGGCACATCACATGCTTCCTCTGGAGTTCATTTTACAAGTGGAAATAACTAACTCCCAGATTAGCTTGCAGCTTACTTGTGGTAAGCTATCAGTTAGTGGCAATGTTGGGGTCTGAACATCTCTGAAGCACCCTGGCTTGTAGCTATGATCCTTGATTTGAGATCTGGGCCCTCCTGCTGCTGATCCATATACAGGTGGGCAGCAAGTGGCCCTCAGGGCCCTCAGGTGACCGTACCTATATTCTGGGCTAGGCCAGAACTTCCAATGGATAGAGTCCTTGATCTCTCCTTCACTCACCCCAGCCCCGAATGGCACATCTGGACAAGCCCCAGGCACCCAGTTGCAGCATGAGACGCCCCTCCCTTCCTGTCACCCAGACAAATACTCACATGTGGGCCCCAGGCCGGTCCTCCCTGGTCACTACTCCCTCCTTCTCCATCAGCATCTGCCGGAAGGTCCCGACCTTCTGCCGGATCTCCTCCTCAGAGTACCTGAGAAGCACAGGGACCGTGAGGGCTTGCTGCTAATTTTAGATCACCCCTTCAGCTTACTCCCACTTGCTCTCCAGTCCTTGGTCTCAGTGCATGCTCTCATTGGTAACTGCTCTTTTTTTTGTAGGAGTTTTGTTATTCTCTCTCAGTGTACCCTCTCTCTCCCCACTCCCCTCTCCCCTCGCCTCCCCACCCTACCTTCTGCTTCCTTTCAGTCCCCTCCTCTCCATCCTTCCCTTCCTCCTTTCCCCTTTTCTCCTCCCTTCCTTCCCCTCCCTCCTACTCACTCGCTCTTTTCCCTTCCTCCCTTCCCTCATTTCCTGTCTCTGTATTTTGTATTTTTTCTTCTCCCCCTCTCCTTTCTTAATAGTGTTTATTAGGTTCACCTAACAAACATTTAAAAGTTTGAATTACTATTCAATGTATGAGTGTTTTGCCTGTATGTATATCTGTGAACCACATGTGATCTGGTGCTCAAAGAGGCCAGAAGAAGACAATAGAGCCCCTGCAACTGGAGTTACAGATGGTTGTGAACCACTGCATGGGTGCTGAGAATCAAACCCAAGTCCTCTGGAAGAACAGCTGGTGCTCTTAACTGCTGATCCATCTCTCCAGCTCCTCGATATCTGTCTGTCTGTCTGTCTGTCTGTCTAGGAAATAGAATCTTACTATTAGTTCAGGCTAGCCTGCAACTCACTTGTAATCCAAGCTGGTCTCTACTCTGTAATACTCCTGCCTTAGCATTTCAGCGATGGACTCATAGGCTGTCCCTATGAGTACATGCCTGGTGCAGCACTAACAGGAGTCTGTGGCTACTAGTGAATGAATCTTGGGTCATGACCTCCAGGGTTTTCATTCTTCAGAATGGAGGAGAGTATGGGGTCTCATCTTGCTTTGCTTTCTGCTCAGGGTCCACTGCCTCTTCCCATAGCAGGCACAGCCCTCCCCACTCGGCCTGTCCATGGGAATGGTATGCCTTTCCCTGTCTTGTTTCTTATTTATCTTTTCCTCAACAAACACTTTACAGAAGACTAATTTGGCTTTCAAAAGCTTTTTTCTTTTAAAACAAAACCCAAATGTCCTTTAATTATATTTGTTTATTGTTTTTTTCAAAACAGAGTTTCTCTATGTAGCTCTGGCTGTCCTGGAATTCATGATGTAGTCCAAGCTGGTCTTGAATTCACAGAGATATACCTGCTTCTGCCTCCTGAGTGTTGGGATTAAAGGATGCATTACCACTACCTGGTCCTTTAAATTTATTTTTATTTTTAAAAATGTGTGTGTGTCACTTGAGTGGTGGTGACACATGCCTGTAATCACAGCACATGGAAGGTAGAGGCAGGTGGATATCTGTGAGTTCAAAGCCAGCCTGGTATAGAGAGTGAATTCCAGGACAGGTAGGGCTGTTACACAGAAAAACTCTGTCTTGAAAAAAAAAATGTGTGTGTGAGAGCCTGCATGCATGAGTGTGAGTGTATTCCTGCGGGCGTGTGTGTATCTGGGTGTATGCCTTGTGTCTGTGTTATCATGTGTGTGTGTCTGTGTGTGTGTGTGTGTATACATACACTTGAAGGTGTGTGTGAGTTTGTGTGTGTGACTGAGGACAGGAGTGACTTCCCAGCCCAGCATTGTTCATCCCAGTGACTAATTCAAGGGAAAAGCACAGCTCGCTGTGTTAAAGGTCATGATGACTTAGCAGAAGCTGCAGGAAGCCTGAATATTTAGAAGGACCCTTGTGTTTTCTTGCCTGGCATCTCTATCTATTTTATAGATTGTGTAAAGGCCTTGAGCTGTCATTTATGTTTATATATGCTTCACAACACTGGATATATCTAGAGCATGGAGAATTAGTCTCTGTGGCTTCTACGAGTTGGTGCTTAATCTAGATCTTCAGAGACAGTTTCTGAGTTGTCTGAACTAACAGATAAATGAAGGTGACGAGGGCTCATGGCTCCACTTAGCTGGTCCAGACCCTGCTTCCTTGTTGGATGAGGTTGTTGGCTCCCAGTGCTCTTTAGATTCAGCCCCAGGCTCCAACTCAGGGACATAGGTCTTCCTGAACACCCCCCCCATTCCAACCCTGCCTTTTTTCTGTCAGACCTTTTCTGGCCCCGCCTACATCAGCATCACTCTTCAATTAGTCTCATTAGACATGGGACCTGCCACAAGCCTGATTAGGCCCTGGCCACATCTCAGTCTTGCTCCTAGATCCACTCATCATTTGAGGCCAAGCTCCCTACCTAGTGCTGGTCTCAGCCATGCCCTATCCGGTTGCACCAATATCCTGGGCACAGCTCCACCATATCCAGGTCAGGTTGCCTCAAATAGAATAGCCAAGACCCTTGTTGGTGTGCCAAACTCCGGAGTGCAGCTTTGCCACACCAAGTCCCCGAACACAACTCTACCATTGCCAAGTTCACAATCACACCCCTATCCTGGTCTCACTACCTTACACTCTAGCCACAGCCCCTTCCCAGTCCAGACTAATAGCTTCAGCACTCCTCCTGGGTGCAAAGCTTGACTATTACCTGTCCATCACTCCCTTGGAATGTTTGGCCACACTCCTACTCCGCCCTTCCTCACCAAGCTCCAAAGCACAGCCCAACCACTTACATCCACACCCCTATTCAGAGTTCATCCTATCTCTCCACAGCCGGATACTCTACCTAGTTCTGCCTCTCCCTCTGCACCCAGCCTCTGGGCACTGCCTGACTATTCCTTGTTCAGAACCGCTGCATAGACTGGCCATGCCCATCGAAACCACATACCAACCATTTCTCCTGTCTAGTCCCTCCCTATCCGCTTCTTCATGCCTAGAGCACATACCAACCATGCCACTACCCCTCACCAGGTACTCAGTTTCCCCTGTCTCGCCCCGCCTCACCCTTCTTTGATTTCGCTACTAAATCCAACCACGCCCCCTGTCCGCCTCTGCCTTGCTGCTCCAAGTCCCAGAGTATAGCATAACCACAGCCCTAGCCTTCCTTGTCCTAGCCCCGCCCCATCACGCCCCACCACGCCCCAGCCCCGCCCCTGACAGCTCCAGCATCAAGTCTTGAACATAGTCTGACCTCGCCCCACATCATCTCCCCTAACCCCGCCCCTCTCGCCCCGCCCTGCTCACCCCTGCTCCTCCATCATCTCTTGTAGTTCCATGCACTTGAGCTCCACGCGCCGCTTGCGTTCGTGGTCCAGGATCTCCCGGTGCGCGCGCTTCACCAAGCCGGGCTCGGCGGCGCGCAGCTCCTCCTCCGCGCGCGGCCAGGTCCCGGACGAAGCACCCGGTTGTGGGAAGCCATTGGCGGCGTCGGGCGGGGATGGCATGCCGGCAGCCCCGTTGTTCACAGTGGAGGACATGACAGCTGTCCTCAGCGGCAGGCCCTGCGGGACAGAAAAAACAGAAAGCGGGGTGGTCACCTCTCGGCCATCCGTTAAGCTTTCACTATACAGCTTAATCCTGGAGGTTTAGGGCCCGCTCGCGGCTCTAATCCGCTTGCTCTTAGGCTGTAGAGCAGGGCGGGTGACAGGTTGGCACCATCACTTCAGGACATGGATGTATTTGACGCTAGTCTTTCCTCATCTGTAAAGTGGGTGGGTGCACACTCGATCCTTGTGTTTTGTTTGTTTTTACTTTATTTTTCTATAGCCCAGCCTCCTCTCCATCTCTCTATATAGTCAAGCATGACCTTAAACTTCTGGTTTTCTTAAGTGCTGGGCCTTACAGGCATGTACCATCACACCCGGTTTATGTGGTGCTGGGGATGGAACCCAGGACACTGTGCCTGCTAAGTAAGCAGTCTATACACTGCGCCCCAGTCTCTCCAGTTCCAATTGACTTTAAAGAAAATCTTATATGGAGCCAGAGACAAGGCTTGGAGGGCAAAGGCACTTGTTGCCTAGATGATGGCCTGTGTTCAAAGCTCAGAACACATAATGGAAGGAGGGAACCGACTCTTGCAAATTGTCCTCTGACCTCCACACACAGCCCAATGAATAAAGGAATACAGAATCCCTTCCCTTCCTCCTCCTTCCCTTCTTTCTTTCCTCCCTCCTTTCTTTTTTCCTTCTTTCCTTCCTTCCTTCCTTCCTTTCTTTATCCATGACTGTCCTGAACTTCCTCTATAGACCAGACTGGCTTTAATCTCAGTGATCTGTCTGCCTCTGCCTACCGAGTGCTGGGACTCGACACCACACCTAACCTTTGAGTATGTGTGAATATGAGCACAAAATTTAAAAAAAAAATATTATTTTCTGGTGCTGGGATTGAACCCAGGACTTCATGAATGACAGGCAAGCAGTCTGCCTCTGAGTTAGAGCTTCATTCTTAAAAAAAAAAAATGCCTGGCAGGACTTAGTGGTGCCCACCTTTAATCCCAGCACTAGGGAGGCAGATGCAGGCAAATTTCTGAGCTTGAGTCCAAGCTGATCTACAAAGCAAGTTCCAGGACAGCAAGGGCTACACAGAGAAACCCTGTCTCAAAAAAAAAATAGCATGAAATAAAAGATATTAAGACTTATTCATTTTCTTGTATGTGTGAGAGTTTTACCTGCATGCATATATGTGTACCATATGTGTTGCTTGGTGCTTGAGGTCAGAAGAGGATATTGGATCCCCTGGAACTGGATACATGGGTAGTTGTGAACCACCATGTGGTGGCTGGGAATTGAACCTGGGTCCTCTGCAAGAGCAACAGACAAGTTCCCTGGGTTGCTGAGCCATCTTTAAAGCCCAGCTTTAGCCTTGTTGTTTGCTTGCAGTGCTGGCATTCAAACCCAGGACTTGGGACCTGCTAGGGAAGTGCTTAATATCTAAGTGGCATCTCTAGCCACCAGGCTCGTTGCCTGTTCTGGCTTTGCTCTGTGTACTTCTTACTTCTGGTCTGCAGAAATGTGGGTGTCTCTGGGTCTCATTCCCTTTCACTCTGCTGCATCTGGCTAACTTTTCCAAAGCTAGCATTGCACGGGGTAGTCTCAATAAGACTACCTCTTCTTTGTTCTGGAAATGCTGTCCTCAAGGACTGACATGGAAAATTAACTTTCCAGGCAGCCATGTCCTCTTGTGTGCTAGGGGTGGAGCAGAAGGCAGAATGGTTTGAAGGCAATAAGCCTTGACACTGTGCTAGGCCAAAAGTAGAACACACACACACACACACACACACACACACACACACACACACACACACACACGACCTCTATCTTAACAGGGGGAACCGCCTCCTAAGCTATTTCCGGGTCCTTTCTCCAAGGCTCTGCTTGTTGCTAAGCAACTAAAGGCCTCATTCTCAGGATGTGGGATGTGAAGGATACAGATACAGGGAAGGGTTGGGCATGTAGAGTTAGGAAACATCTCAGCAACACTCTTTCCTCTAACCTCCTGGGGATGGAATTTAGGGCTTTGCCCACACCAGGCAAATACTTTATCAACTGAGCTACAGCCTCAGTCCCAATTAGCTTCTTTAAAAATGGCTTGGCCAATTGGCCCAGACAGATTGCTCAGCACTTAAGAGAACTTGCTGCCTTGCATAGGACCTGAGTTTAGTTCCCAGCACCCATATTGGGCTGTTCACAACAGTCTGTTAGTATGGAGGACCCAACGCCCCCTTCTGGCCTGTAAGCACACTACACACATGATGCACAAATAGACACACATAAGTAAGTTTTTAAAAATTCTTATTTGGGGGCTTATTTGGTGCTCAGAGGTTAGGAGCACTGGCTGTTCTTCCAAAGGACCCAGGCTCAATTCCCAGTATCCATATCAGCTCACATCTGTCTGTAACTCCATTATACAGGATCCGGCTCCCTCACATGGATGTACCCACAGGCAAAACATCAATGCACATAAAATAACAATAAATAAATGATTTAAAAGTTTAAAATTCATATTTAGATGTGTGTGGTGGTACACACCTTTAATCCCAGTAACTGGGAGACCGGAACAGGCAGATCTCTGTGAGCTGAAAACCAGCCTGGTCTACATAATAAGTTCCATGCCAGCTAGAGCTACATAGTAGGACCCTGTCTCCAGGAAATACATAAATGAGGATTGAATTTTCTACTCTTGTTGAGAACCACAGAAATGGGAAGGCAGAAAGAACAACTGTCTGAAGAAACAAGGAGACAGAGTGACAGCGGTAAGGGAGACAAGCCCCTCTCATATGTCCTTGTGAATTCCAGCCAACAGGGTTCTAGGACAGCTTCCCCCGCTCTTTGCTGTGTGAACTGGAGGGCAGTGGTGCCCATCTCTGAGCCTCTGATTCCCAGCTGTAGATAGGAGCACCATCCACATTCCACAGGCTAGACAAGTTCCTGGGGACTTAGAGAAGGAGGCCACTTCAAATGGTTACTTTAATTGTCAGTTAGACGTAGTCTAGAGTCATCCGGGAAAGGAGTCTCACTGAGGGACTGTCCCGTGTAAGTTGGCCCATAGGAATGCCTCATGGGAGTTATCTGGATTGAATTCAGTGAAGTGGGAAGACCTGTCCACTGTTGGTGGCATCACTTCCTAGGCAGAGAATCCTGAACCGTTTAAGAGCAGACAACTGGAGCTGAGCGTTGGCATGTGCCCATTAATTCATGGTTCTCTGCTGTTGGCTGTGAATATGATGTGCTTCAAGTTCCTAATGCTGGACTTCCCTGCAGTGGTGGATGGCAACGTTGAATTGTGAGCTGCTTTTCCCTGTTAAATTGCTTTCTTCAGAGGTAATGCTTTTTTTTTTTTGGACAGGGTCTCCTTATGTAGCTCTGGCCTGTACTTTGCTATGCAGACCAGGCTGGCCTCAAATATACAGAGATCTGCATGGGATTAAAAGCGTGTGCCACAACTTCTGATTCTTGACAGAGTATTTAACACAACAATAAGAAATTAAGACACTGTCCAAACCTGTCTCTCTTCATCTCCAACTTTGCCAATTCCCCATCCCTACCCATGGAACAGCCTGAACCCCAACCCCAGTTCTACTCAAGTATGCACACACACACACACACACACACACACACACACACACTCACACAATACAATATAAAAATTTGCTCCCTCGCCTCTCTATTCACTATGGTTTCCATTCATCCACTCATTCTCTTCTCCTGACATCATCTCCATTACCTGTCTCATATCCTGTGTGGCCTTCCTGCCCCCCCAGACCCATATCTTCCTCGAACATCCTGGAAGATCAGCCTGGCTGAGTCATGTCTTGACTCAGACTCCAGATACCCTGCTATCTTATCTTATTATTGTGACGCAGCCCTGCCTCATGATTTAGCCACATATATCTTCCCTCTCTCTTATCTCCAGACCTGCCAATGTGTAGCTCACTCTCCCACCATGCTTTGTTTTTGAGATGGTGTCTCTCTCCATAGTCCACACTGATCCTAAACTACCATGCATCCCAGGTTGGCCACTGGCTCACTTACCTCCTCCCTCAGCCTCCTGAGTACTTTTCAAGCCTTAGCCATCATGTCTAGTTCCCAGGATGCTCTCCTCCAGACTCCTAGTCAATACTACTCACAGGCACCATCAACTTTCAGAAGGCTTTCCTTGCCCTGCTGGCTGGTGCCACCCTCCCAATCTCTTGTCACTTGCTTCTGTCCCTGTAGATTTACAAGTCTAGAACTTGAATCCCTACTGTCAATCAAATGCCTACATAAGTGGAGACCAATGAGCGGGACTGGAAGAAATAAAAGACCATTACAAAAGGCAGATGGGATAGGAACACATGGCATAGTCAGCCATGTCTCCATGCTCTTCCCTTGTCCTGCCGCCTTCTTCTTAAATTACTGTGCTGGGAATGAGAGTCAGGGTCTTCCCCTGACTCTCTATTGCTGAGCCACAATCCAGCCCCTCACTGGGGGGATTCTAGACAGGTGCTCTACCACTGAGCCACACCCCCAGCCCTTCAATGGGAGACTTTAAGCAAATGCTCTGCTGCAGAGTCATGCCCCCCAGGCAGATTGCAGGAACGCACTCTACCACTGAGCCACACTGCCATCTTGAAACGTCTTCTCCTGCCACATTCTATTCTAAATCAGCCTCCAGTCCCTTGTGTCTCCATTTGGTCTTTGCTCAGGTAGCTCACCTGGGTGAAAATGTCTATACTCCTCTTCTTCACCCAAGGAGATTTTATTCATTCTTTGGAGCCCAGATCAAAGGTTTCCTCCCCTGAAAGTCTTGCTCTAGGTAGGAGTGACTACTTCCCTGCCATTTTGGCCCATGTCTCTGCTATGACACTGGGACACTGAGTTTCAGTGTGCTAGCATCTGACTACCGTGCCTGACTGACTATGAGCCCTGTAACTGGGGCACTGCCCTAGCTTCTCAGGGTGGATCCCACACTCGCAGTGCAGGAGGGGCCTGAAAGCTATAGAGAGAAACTTTTGAGGCTTCAGTCCCTGGAATGTATCTTTACTTTGTCTTTTTTGGGAGTTGGGATGCTTGAGATAGAGTTTTGCTCTGTAGTCCTAACTGGTTTGAAATTCGGTATGTAATCTGGGTTGGCTAACTTTCACTGACCCTCCTGCCTGCTTCAGCTTCCCAAGTGCTTGGATTACAGGCATGGGTCATTGCACCTGATTGACAGACATATTCATCCCCCGCCCCACACACTAAAAAGAGTCTCATGTAGTCAAGGCTGCCCATGTAGTGGAGGATGACTTTGAACTTCTGATTCTCCTTCCTCTGTATGCTGAGTTCTGAGATTATAGGTATGGACCACCATGCCTGATTGGCATCATCTTTTACAAAGTCATATGAGACTCACCAGGAGAAGGTTCAGCTGTGCTGATGTAAGCTAAAATAATTCAATAATCCTGATTCCAAAATCTAAAACGTGCACATTTTTGGGGGTGTCAACATGATCTTTATACCTAGTCATATGATGGACTGCAGTATAAACACAGAGACACTAAAAATACTGTTTAGAATCACCTACAGGTCTACCGAGATGACTCAGCAGGTAAGGGTGATTTCAGGCAAGACTAATGATCTGACTTTGAGCCTTGGAGCCCACGTGGTAGAAGAAGAGCCTACAACACTCTCAGATTGTCCTCCAACCTTCACATGTGCTCTGTGGCTTGTGTGCCTGGGCACACACATATACAAGTAAAATTAATTTAAAATGGAGAGCAATCAGCCAGGCATTGGTGGCACATACCTTTAGTCCCAGCACTTAGGAGGCAAAGGCAGGCGGATCTCTGTGAGTTCGAGGCCAGCCTGGTCTATGAGAGCTAGTTCCAGGACAGTCTCCAAAGCCACAGAATCCCCCACCCCCAAAAAAGGAGAACAATCTATGGACTATGGGCATAAGATAAGCATAAAACATAAATAGTTGGGCATGGTGGAGCATATCTGTAATCCCAGCTTGGGAGGCTAAGACAGAAAGGTTCAAGGCCAGTTTGGAGTAGAGGAGTACATAAGGCTACAGGGCTTGTCTCAAAAAAACAAAAACCAAACAAATCCCACACCAAAGACAGGAGCTTGGGCAATAACCTGGTGGGTAGAGTGCCTGTTTTGTAGGCTCTATGACCTGAGTTGGATCCACAGAAATCACATAAAATGTTAGGTGTCTTGGTGCACACTCCACCTCATGGGGAAGGTGGAACAGGTGGGTCTCAGGAGTTCACTGCACTACTGGATGAGCTCCATGTCAGGTCAGTGAGATACCCTAATTCAGAAAACCAAAGCCAAAACCAACACAAACGAATAAAACCCCAAACCCAAATTGGACAGTACCTGAGAAATGACACAAAAAGGTAGGCAGGGCTTATACAGATACACAGTGATTCTCTCTCTCTCTCTCTCTCTCTCTCTCTCTCTCTCTCTCTCTCTTCCTCAGTTAAGTATTTGCCTAGCATGTGTGAAACCCTGGGTTGCATCCCCAGTACCCCATAAACCAGAAAACCAGATTTGGTGGTGCATACCTGTCATCTCAGCACTTGGGAGATGGGTTCATGAGAATTAGAAGTTCAAGGTCACCCTGGACTACCTTGTGAGTTCTAGGCCACAACCATTTCAGACGAAAAGAAAAAGCCAAGAGGATGGGTGGGCTACAGCTCAGTGGTCCAGTGCTTACCTAGTTGGCACAAGGCCCTGAGCTACATGCTCACACTCATGAAAAAAATTCCAAAATCTGCAAAAATACAATTGAAATTGGAAACACTTCTGGGCCCCAGCATTTTTGATAAGGAATCTATCCACTGTCTTTTGTTCTATTATAATCTGTTGATTCACGTGTATTCAAAATAGAGGTTAAATAACGTAATAGAGTAGGTATATACTGGAGGACCACAGTGCCCTGTCCTTTCCCAGCGTGCTTGCTTGGTGAATGGATGGAACAGGGATACCTTGAAGATCAGATTTCTTGAGGATGCAGTCTGGAAGAGCTCACAAATATAGTCACAGTCCAAAAATGATTGAACAGATGGAAACAAAGAAATGAATGTATGGAGGTAGGGAAGGATTTTGAGAAACAGCACATGTTGAATCTGTGCCCCCCCCCACTAACTTTCTAAAACTGGAATGGGTTAGCAGTGTTTAGAAATAGTATATTTAGGAAGCACTGAGGGATTTTCGGTGATCATACACTCGATTTAAGTCAATATGACAAAGAAGATGCCAGAAGTCCAAGCTATCTTCAGCTGCATCAGCAAAAGTATGATGCTCAGAAGGAGGAAAATGAGCAGATACAGGTGGCCAGAATCCCCATCGTCACACATTTGAGGGATTGTAGAGGATTCAGGTCACACTAGACTGAGACTTCTGCTAAGAATTCTGAGAGCTGTTGTCATATTTGGCAAATAAAAACACGGGCTCCCTTGTTAAATAAAATTTGAATTTCATGAAGTTCGTATTTGGGACAGGCTTCTAAAAATTATTCATTGTTTCTCTGAAGTTCAGATCTAATTGGGTGTCCTATATTTTATATGTCAATCAACCTGTGATACAGCTCAGATCCAAATCTCTGGAGGTGAGATTATTATAGTTCCCTAGGCGATGCATTTTTGTTTTTTTCTCTTCCTTTCTTTTGACAGAGCCTCACTACGTAGCCAAGCATGGCCCGAAAATCTCTCTTAAGATAAAAAAGAATTGAGACAGTCTCATGAGCTCAGGTTGTCCTTGAACTAACTATTGCAGCCAAGGATGATCTTGAGCTTCTGGTCCTTCTGCTCCATCTCCCAAGTGTTAGACAGATTCCCCCCCCCCCCTGGAGCTCTTGGTCCTCTGCCTCAGTCTTCAGAATGCTGGGATTACAGGTTCAAGACACCACCTCTGGCTTTTCCTTCTAAGTTGTGGCCACAGACGAAGGTTTGGGGAATACCATCTCAGGACATGATGTCTTGCAAACAGCACTGGCTGTCATTAATATTAGCAGTCAGTGGTGTTTGCTCTGGTTTGAACACGAAAGGCACGAGGAGCCCCTGGACATCAAGGGAAGCTTCTCTGAAAGTGTCACCATTGGTCTAATTTTGGGGCTCCATAACAGGATAGAAAAAGATCAGAATAAGGGCTGAGGATGTGGCTCAGTTGGTAGGTAGAGTGCTTGCTTAGCATGTGGGAAGCTTTGCCTTTGGTACTCAGTACCACATAAGCCAACCAAAGCACTGTACAGCTCTTCAAGCTACACCTGTTATCTTAGCACTCAGGAGGTGGAGGCAGGAAGATCAGAAATTTGGGGTTATCTTCAGAGCTACAGAATGAGTTCAAGTGGGTCTGGGCTACATGAGAACCCCCATCTCAAAACAAATGCAGGGGGGAGGAAACCCATCAGAGTGAGCAAACTCCTTGAATGTTTGAAGAAAACACATGGGAGTAGAGCACAAAGCACAGGGCAGGCTAGTCAGTCTTTGGAGGAGTTTACAGAGAGGTTCCAGGCCGCCCACACCCCTCCCCACAGCCTTCCTCCCACCCTGCCCTTTGCTGGTCTCCGCAAACAGCTCTCTCTGGCTCCATCAGGACTGGAGCACCTCGGACAGCGCACCCATCACCGCAGCAGGGAGTCCGCTTTTGTGCCCAGGACTTTCTCACTCAGTAGGAACAGAACTTCTCTGGCCTTTCTCTGCCCCTGCCCCCAACTGCTGGAGATGTACATTTGCAGTGGGACTTCCAGGAACCAGGGCCTCAATGTGCTCAAGTGTGCAAGTTTCTGTGCTCGATTCAGCAGCACATATACCAAAATTGGAACAATACAGTAATTAGCATGGCCCTTGCCCAGAGGGTTTTTTTTTTTTTTTTTTTTTTTTTTTTTTTTGCTACAATTTGGTTTTATTTTTAACTTTCTTTTTTCCAGTACTGGGGGTTGAACCTGGGATTTTGTACATGTACCATTGAGTCACACCCTAGCCCCTCACTGCAGGATAAGCTTGTTATAGAAGAGGGAATTGATGCCATGCCCCCATCCCTTCTCCTAGTACAATAGCAAACATCACTCAGGCAGAGTGCATTTTTGTCTGGAATGATCAGGGAAGATGTTAGCAGAATGATGACCGGGTGTGGCTACAATCCCAGAATTCTGGAGGCTAGGAAGGAGTATGAGAAGTTCACTGCCAGCCTGGGTACGTGTGTGTGTGTGTGTGTGTGTGTGTGTGTGTGTGTGTGTGTGTGTGCACGCACGCGCGCACTTCCACCATGGCACAAGTGTGGAGGCCAGAGACAGCTTGGGAGAGTTTGCACTTTCCTTCCATCATCTGGGTCCTGGAAACTGAACTCTGGTTGTCAGGCTGGTGCCTTTACTCACTGAGCAATCTTACTGATGTCTCTCCTTTTTATATTGATAGGTCTCATTTAGCTCAGAAACTGGTCTCAAACTGTCTATGTAGCCAAGGATAACCTTGAAATTCTGGTCATCCTGTCTTCACTTCCCAAGTGCTGGGGTCACAGGCATTGAACCCTGGGCTTCACACAGTCAGGCAAGCACTCTACCAACTAAGCTACATCCCAGCCCTGCTTTGCCCCCTCACCCCCTTATTTGCTTTTGGCACAGGGTCTGGCTGCTATGCATCCCCAGCTGACCTTGGATGTGTAAGCTTTCTGCTTTGGACTCTAGAGTACTGGAAGTAAAGGTATATGCTATCACTCTGCCTCTTCATCTATAAAATGGGGATTAATATAGGTACTTCCTCTGAAAGAGGTTATGAAGAGTGAAAGAACTGACATGTGTACAATTTCTGTGCCAGCTAGCTGGTGGGCAGCTATAGCACCAGCACTTGAGGAGCTGAAACAGTAAGGCACAAGTTCAAGTCCAGCCTGTGCTATATAGTGAGAATCAGGACAGACTGGGCTGCAGTAGAGAGAGACCGTGTCTCTGACTAAAAAGCAACACACACACACACACACACACACACACACACACACACACACTGCTGGGGATATAGCTCAGTACCATGTAAAAAGCCCTGGTTTTGATTTCCAGCATAAACAGATTGTAGTGTCACAATGTAATGCCAGCACTCGGAAGATCAAGTGTTCAATACCATCCTCAGCAATAGAGGGGGTTTGGAGTCGCCCAGGGCTCTATAAGGCCCTGAGTTAAGGAGAAGGAGAGGAGGAAGAAAGGGAAAAGGAGGATGGGGAGATGCCATAGTGAGCCACAAGAGCTGGAAGCCTGGAGGAGCTGGCATCTGGCAGTGAGAGGGTTACAGCAGCTTCCTTCCAGCCTTCTTGGTGTCTCTGGGGGAAGAGCTGGAGCTGCTGTGTGTTACCCAATCCTCCAGAAGATGCTGGCAATCGCAACTGGGAAGAAAAGACCAAACTGCTTCCTTTCAATTATTCAGTGGCTGGAGCTTCCTGGGGCCCCTGCTGGAGCCAGAGGAAGATCTTGGCGGGAGCTTCTTCCACTAGGGCACCTGGGAAGGAGCCAAGGTGGGACCTAGGGGAAGAGATAGGAATCCTGGCTTGTGCCGTGCTGGAACCTCTGCTCTGTGCCTTGACAGCCACCTCGTGGTCCTTTCTCCTGCCCTCTCCTGTTCAGTCTAGAACTCTGTCTAACCACCTGGACCTGCGCCAGAACTTGGCCCCACCCCTTCTCTGCAGCCTCAGCCTATGCTGTTGAACATGGACCCAAGGCCGGCAGGCAGTGAAGGTGAACATGCACAGTCTGGCAGAAAGCACAGGCTGTTCCAGTCTGTGGGTTTGAGCAAGACGTCCAGCCTCAGGCTAGCTCCCATCTCTCCTACTATAGCCTGCTTTGCTCAGAACACATCAGCCTATACTGTTTCTTGTGTCTGGAATGCCTCAGTCCTCATTAATTCTGCTAAAATGGACAATGCCATCTCTTCTCTGAAGACTCCAATGACTTTCTAAAATATATCCTCTAGGGTCACCTTTTTGCTTCTGCCCTTGTTCTGCTATCTTCTATCTCTGGCTGAGTGATTGGTTTGTTTTCTTGTTTGTTTATTAATTATTTATCGCCTTGTGTAGCTCAGGCTGGCTTTGAATGCCTTATGCAGACAAGAATGACCTTGAACTCCTGATTTTTCCACCTCTACTTCCTGAGTGCTGGGATTACAAGCATTAAACAACATGCCCAGTGTCTGCAGTACTCAAGATCAAACCCAGGGTTTTGTGCACCCTACCAGCTAAGCCATATCTCCAGCCCTGTTCTTGAGATAGTGTCTCACTAGGTAGTCCTGGCTGGCCTGGAATTCACTGTGTATACCAGGCTGGCCTCAAACTCACAGAGCTCCACCAGCCTCTGCCTCTCAAGTGCTGGGATTAGAGGTATGCACCACCATACCTAATTTCCTATACTGAAGTTGACTCATGATTCATCTGTCTCAGTTTCTCTCTTTTTACTTTTTTCCAAGACAGAGTTTCTCTATGTAATAGCCCTGGCTGTCCTAGAACTCACTTTGTAGACCAGGCTGGCTTCAAACTCATAGAGATCCCCCTGCCTCTGCCTTCTGAGTGCTGGGACTAAAGTTGTGCACCACCAAACCTGGCTCTGTCTCAGTCTCTTATGTGTTGGGATTACAGACATACACCACAATGCCCACCTTGGCTGAGGTCTCTTTAAAGAGAATGTTTGAGTTAGTCTATTTTTCTGTCCTTAGTGTCCGGTATGGGACTTCACACAGGGCAGCCAACTGTGACCATCTCAGCACTTGGAGGTGGAGGCAAGAGGATAATAGTTCAAGGTCATCCTTGGCTACATTGTGAGTTCAAGATCTGCCAGTGCTGCATGAGACTTTATGTCAAAATAAACCACAGTAACAAAACTCCTACCCGCGGCAAGCAAATAGCTCAGTGGATAAAGCTGCTTGCCACCAAACCTGAGGACCCGAGTTCAGTCCCCAACTTACATGCTGGGAAGAGAGAACTAACTCCTCAGTTATCCTCTGACCTCCACATACTTGTGTCATGGTACACACCAACTGATTAACTAACAAACTGTAATAAAAATCTAGCCTGTGTGGCTGGAGGGATGGCTCAGCTGTTAAGAGCACTGGCTTCTCTTCCAGAAGATTCAGGTTCAATTCCCAGCACCCAAATGGCAGCTCACAACTGTCTGTAACTCCAGTTCCAGGGGATCTGACACCCTCACACAGACATGCATGCAAACATAACACCATTGCAATAAAATAAAAATAAGTGAATAAAATCTAGCCTGTGTTTGTAGCTCATTTCTTGTCTTTTACCACTGTCATGTTGTCATCTTCAGGGACTTCAGTGGAAGCTGTCCTTGGTCCTTGCTCCCAATGTCCAGTCTGTGTACTTTTGACACTTGCATAAAACATTTCCTCATCCTCATCACAAGCCCTGGAACCCAGCCCAGTCTCTGAATAAGATAGCAAGGACTTGTCTTCTAGCCACCCTCTCACCCTATTCTAGGGCTTTCAGCTTGAATTCTCAGATCAGAAGTTGGGATGGTAGATTTCTGATGCCAAGGTGGCCTCTGCTATGTGCTTAAGGAGGAACCATAGTCTGGGCCACACAGCCCAAATGGCATCAGTACAGACCACTGACGTCTAGAGTTGGTCACACAGAGATTTTCATGGGACAAATTCCACCAAGCCAGGAGTTCAAACTAGCAATATCAACCAGGAGCAGCAGGGTTTACAGACTCTGGACTAGACTAGAACAGACAATACTGCCCTTGAACACCATACAGACCTGCCCAAACCAGTAGACAGCTAAAGAAACCAGAACTAGGGGCTTAGAATGTGGCTCAGTTGGTAGAGTGTTTGCCTAGCATGCCACAAAGCCTTGGGTTCTGTCTCCAGCACTACATAAAATCAGAGTGACAATGCACACTTGTAATCTCAGCACTTGGGAGGTAAAGGCAGGAAGACCAGAATTTCAAGGTCATCCTCAATGGGTAGTGGAGAAGGCTCAGCAGGTAAAGGCTTTGTATGTGTGCATGCATGTGTGCATATACATACATGTGCACTTACATACAAGTGCACATGCCATAGCAAGACCCACTTGTGAAGGTCAGAGGAGGAGAGTCATTTGTCTCCTTTGTACCGTGTGAGTTCTGAGGATCAACCTGCTCTGCTTTCCGGGGCTGAGTTTGACATGAAATCAGAAGAGCCTGCACATTCATCCCAGCTTCCACCACCCCCAGGATAAGAAGGTCCCAGCTCATACCCAGAAGGGAAGATGAGTTAGGAACTCTGCCCAGATCCCTTCTCCTTGAGATCATCGCTATTCCTCATGGATCTATATGGGGTTGGTCTCTTTGTCCCTGAAAAAAGTTGAACTTAGGAGGACACTGTGTGTGGTGGTAGTTATATATGACACCAGCACGAGGAGGCTGGGAAAGAGGGTCATGAGTTGGGTGCCAGCCTGGGTTACCATGATGGTTTTTATCTTCAATTTGATGGGATGTAGAATCATCTGGAAGACACATCTTTGGACACCTGCTTGAGTTTTCTATATTAAGTTAATTGAGGTGGGATGACCCACCCTAAATGTGTGTGACACCATTCCATTAGCTGGGGCCTCAGACTAAATAAAAAGGAGGACGTGAGCTCTGAGAACCAACATCTGAATACATGTGCATCTATACACACCTGCATTATACCCCCCACACCTGCACATACCACACACAGCTGCACATATCACATTCACATCTGCACATACCACACACATACCTATACATATCACACACCTACCTGTACATATCACACACCCTCCACAGTGAACAAACAAACAATTATATAAATAAATAAAAGCTGGGAGGTGATGTGTCAAGTCAGAAGCTTTTGGTAGGAGAGGTGAGTACTGGCCAGACAGCTGCTTTCTCCCAC